CCCCGCTGCCAGCCAACCCCGGCCCCGCACCCCGTTGGGCCCCGCCCCCAGCCCCACGCCCGCACTACCCCGAGCCCATGAGGGGGCGGTGTACCCTGGGGGGGGGGACCGAGGTCGGGCCAAAACTGCAATATTGCAGTTTGGCCCAAGGGGTGCAGGCTGCAGCTGCGCATCCCCTGTATTTTTTTTTTTTTTTTTTTTTTTTTGGTCGGGGCCAGGGGTGCCGACCTCCGGCCCCCGGGACCCCCGCCGGGGCCCCGGGGCCGGGGCTCGACAACCTTGGTCCTCAATGTCTCGTGGTTTAAATACACTTTGAAGTGTCTCCCAAGCAAGTAGTGCTTCCAGCGATCTAATGCTTGCCTGAGAGAGTTGAGTTCTCTCTCGTAGGTAGATGTCGCTACCTTCTCTGAAGGCATCCTAGCAAACATGAACTCTACGGGCCTATACCCCATTGGGCCATTGCCATCATCTTGCTGTAAGACAACACCTATACCATACTGACTTGCGTCAGTGGTGACAACAAAAGGCAAGGACGGATCGGCTACCTTGAGGACTGGATACTCTATCAAGGCCCGCTTTAGCTTCTTCAGGGCCGACGTACAGTCTCTATCCCACTCCCAGATTGCTTCTTTCTTTAGCAACCTGCAAAGGGGTAGAGAAGTTCCTTACGAACTTTCTATAGTAATTTGCTAAGCCTAAGAACGACCGCAACTTTGTCAATGTGCGGGGCATCGGCCAATCTCTAATCGCCGCTATCTTACTATCCTCAAGTTTAATGCCATCTCCATCTAAGCCATGGCCCAAGTACAAAACTTGTGTCTTGGCCCACTCACACTTCTTCGCGTTGATCTTGAAGACAACTTCCCTCAGCTTCTCCAAGACCTGCCTGAGATGGCCCTCATGCTCTTGGAGGGTCTTACTAAAGACTAGAATATCATGTAAGTATACCACTACGGATCTATTTAACCATGGCCTAAACAGATCGTTCATACAGCGTTGAAATGTAGTTGGCGCATTGGTTAGTCCAAAGGGCATTACCATGAACTCATGGTGCCCATATCTAGTCCTGAATGTCGTCTTGTACTGATCATCAGGGTGGACTTCTATCTGATGATAGCCTGACTTCAAATCTATCTTAGAGAAGTACTTGCAGCCCTGCACTTTGAGAAAAGCAAGGAGTCCACTATGACCTACGATACCTTTGAGTAGGGAAGTAGTGGCTTTCGAGGCCCAGTCCATGCCAACTACTACCTTCTGGCACAAGGATCTTGACAAGGGCCAAAAATGGAAGGGTCGTACCATATCAGGCCAAGTCAAGGCCGAGGATCATCTGATCCTGACTTTAGATGAGGGTGGTATGGAAGAGGTCCCATACGATCAGATAGAATGGGGCCTAGAGGAGGAGGGCAGTAGTGATAGGACTTACGCTGCTGTCGCTGTTGGAGGGAGGCCGGAAGGAAGAGGAGGCCGGGGCCAACGGGGCCACGCATCCAGTGGCCGAGGACAGATTGATCAGGGGGTTGGCAACAGAGGAAACCGCCAAGTGGGAGGTAGGGGTCAAGGTCCCCCACAAAACCGCTCTCGTTTCACTCGATCACCTCCCAGTAGGGGTGGATGGCATCCTCGCTTGCCACAAGGCAGGCCCTGGGAAGATCTACCTTAGAACAGACCGTGTGACAAAGGCGCATATACCAGGATCAGTGCATCTACTGCGGTGATCCGGGGCACATCATAAAATACTGCCTCAAGTATAGAGAAGCCCGGAATGCTGCATAGGCAGC